ATCTTCTTCCTTTCTTTCTTCTTTTTCTTTCTTCCTCTTCCTCCTCTATGCTGCTGGGTTCCCTCAAGCCCAACTGATCTAGGTTCAAGGGAACCCAGCTCGGGTTTGACGAAACCTAGCAGATGGGTTCCATCGAACCCAGATTTGCTGGGTTCAAGGAACCCAGTGCTAGGTTCCGTCGAACTCAGAACCCAAATTTGTTGGGTTTGAGGAACCCAGCAACTAGGTTCCATCGAACCAGCTCCACTTTTTTTTTTTGTTATATATTTGTTGCGAGAGTTTATGTGAATTGTAGGTTGCGAGGGATTTTTGGGATCTTTTTGGTTCATATTTTTTAACTATTGTCTAAATGATTTTAATGTTCAAAATGGAAAGAACAGAAGCAGTGACCGATGGGCAAAGAAGAAATTTTTAGTGAGTTTCCATTTGATTGGCTAGAAAATTATACAGTTTGGGTGTGTGGCTGCCGAGAAAATGGTTTCAATTTGTTTTGTTAAGAAATTATAGTTTAATGATGAATGATTAATGAAATCTGTGAAAAATCTTTAGAATCCCAACAAATGTAGGGTTTTGAGTGAACTTTAAAGGATAACGAACAAGGTTGGTGGTTTTTGTAGGTAACATGGGACCCATTAGAAGGGCTTTGGCGCAAGAAGATAACATGTCATAAAAAAAAAGTCGTTGTCTTTTCCATGTCATAAAAAAATATATAAAAACTGCCACGTGACGGAGTTAATGGGTCAAATTGATGGAAGGACAAACGTGATACATTTCTTAGAGTTGAGGGATAAAAAATATGCATAAAATACTTTAAGGACCAGAAATGTATAAACTGATAAAATTAATGAACCAAAATGAGCATTTAACCAAAACAGAAAGGGTACTTTCACCCTAAGAAAGCTCAGGCGTGCAAATGAAGGAATTTCACTATTTCAGGCACTTTTGAGCGGTTGCAATGATGCTTCAGGCGCTTTAAGAAGCAGCAACCATGGGCCCACAAATATAGTATTGAGAAATACATTGTTCGGGCAAACTTTTTTGTGGTTATAGATAGCCCACTTTGCAAGCACTCATCTTAAGAGCCTATAAGCATCTACTTTCTTGTCACTTAAAATTTTGCGCGTCTGAATTCAATTCTAATCTACATTTTTTACTGTTTTCTCTTATTTTTCATATTAGTTCTCCCCAGATTTTTTTTATATCATACCAAATTTCAATTCATTTAAAACCTATTTAATATCAAAACACTCAAAATTAACCAAATATAACCAAATATGTATTCATTCATATTTCCAATTAACCAAATATCCACACAAGTACAATATTTTCCCCAAATTTTTTCGACCAAACTGTCATCACCAAATTATATATGGTGATAGTGTGTTAAAAAAAACCAAAACCAAGCATCAAAGTATAAATTGAGCCCTAGTAA